TCCCTATTTATTTCTTTTTTACTGAAGCATTATCCACATTTCCTAGATTCTTTGCAATCTCCATGTGACCTAGTGGCCCTTCCTCTAATACTGTTCTGCCATTTAAGGCACGCCTTTCAACAAAGACACTCATTTTCGCACGGAGTTCTTCCAAAACCCTACACCACCATCTTTCTGTAACATTTAAGCATTTTTAGTAAATTTAAATGTCTGATGGTCACTTCAATCCTAAAACAAAATAAAACAGAATAAAACAATACTTCATCTCGATGGCTTCTGTAACTACCTTCTTGGGTCAATCTTTTTATTGCTGTGATTTGAAAAAAGTATTTTATATTCCTTCTCTGTTTCTGTTTTCATTCATTCCTCTATCCATTGCAATTTGAGTCATTTTACAAACACTAAATGAAAATTTCTTTCACTATAGAGAGTTACAATATCCTTGTTCCTAAACACAATGCATGGCAAAGAAACTTTTTCTTATTTGACCTCTCTCCTGTATTTCAGAATAGATCTTTGCCTAATTCTTCTTTCTGGCCATTTGACTGACTTGGCAGATTTCTCTTTCACTTCTCCACTTTACATATATATTCTTCCAACCACAACTTCTGCTTCTGTTCCTACCCCTTCACTTCATTCTTGGCATAACTTTAAATACTTCTGTTTTTAATATATTTTAAACAGGTGTTTAGGTAAACCATATTACTTTAGAAAGAAAGGTATTTTATTGGTAATGATAATGTATTGCTAGAAACGTTATAAACTATTTTACAATGTCAATGGTTTAACAAATAAACTGTGCTTTTCATTCATGATTGGTCCAATGTAGGCAGCTGTCCTGGCTTTCTTCTTCAAATGGGGACTCCGGGACTCAGACTCCACCCACTCTTTTGATGCCACTATTTTCAACATATAGGCTCTAAGGTTGACTGCGGGAAGAAAAATTGATCTGGAAGTGACAAATGTCATTTATGCTCCCATTATATCAGCCAGACAAGCTATTGGCCTCCTTTAGAGGCAACGTGGAAGAGAATGTGTGGTCTGGATCATCAGGTACCCCCCGAACTACAACTTTAAATCGTAGAAAGGAAACATAGATCTTCATTGTTAGCCGGCCATGAATTATTACATTTTCCAACTTTTCTACGACTTCAACAATTCTCAGTAATGATGGCATTTATTCTCCCAAAGGGTAATTAAGTGCTCTTTTGTGTCTCAGCAATGATCATCATTAACATTCATGTTATTGGAGATGCTGATGCGTTTAACGTTATAATTAGGTACCAGGGAATGCAGCAGATTGTCGAAGGAGAGACCTTGTCTGTATCTTCTCTCAAGTAAAGCAGCTTTCTAGTGTCTCTCTGCCTCATTGATTCACCATCTTTTTTCAAATCTCATCTGAAAACATGCCCTTCTCCCTGGACTATGCCTCTTAATTTATTTCTTCCTCTGCTTTTTATTATTTAACTTTGTATTGTTTAATTAAATCAGGCTACATTATTGTTCATTGAAGATGCTATTCAAAGAAACTGTTACACAGTAGTTGACGTTTTTATCTCATGATATTTCCAAAGCACTTTACAGTATTAATTACTAAACTGCTATAACATTCCAGAGATGTAAATTAATTATACAGTTTTTGATAAATAGCCCATCCGGATGAAGGACAAAAAGCATATAACTATGCTATATTCCTTCTCTTTGGTCCAATGTCAGAAGTTTATAATGGTCGAATTACTAGCAATTATTTTTTGCAATGTTTCAATGACATTGTGGTAAATACTGCCCAAGACTTAAAATCCCTGGTTTTAAGTGTGGTACTCTTCACAACCTTCCAGTTAGGAGTTGTGAGGAACTGGGTCATAGGTTATCCACTCAGCAGCCTCAGTTACCTGGTACATTTTGTTTGGAGAAGATTCCCCAGAGCAGTCGTAGGTCAGTAGCTTTCAATTAATACGTTTGTAATAAATATTATATGGATAAATTCAAAGGTCTATATTTTATTTCTACTCCTTGCTTTCTATGTCTATTATTTCAACTACTAGGACATCCAATTTCTTGGTTAAGCTCTGAGGAAGCACTCTCACTGAATGGGGGTTGATGGAGGTGTTAGGAAGACACAGAGAGAAGAGCACAACATCGTGACTATAAATGCAATCACAATTGTTCAATATTTAGTTCTCATCCTGTAATACTGGTATTTATTTTTAACTATTATTTATCAAAAACTTTGTAATCAGGATCTTCTATGGAAAAGATCTTTTTGATCATAAAGATGGCTTCCGTGGAATTTAGTCTAAGTTTTACTATTTCTAACAATAAATAAATAAATAAATAAATAAATAAATAAATAAATAAATGGTTTTGAAATGTGGCAAGCCAGCCTGTTAAGCTATGCAATGAGTGGCTTCTGAATGACAGAATGCTTTCTTTTAATGTCTTATGGAAATTTCAGTAGATCCTAATTAGTGAATAAAAATGACATTTCTAATGAAACAAAAATTTGAAGACTTTTTATAATGTTGCCTTTCAGCCAATTCTTCTGTGCTCTTCTCCCCTGATACTGATCCCATCCCACCTAGAATTTTTTTATTCTGATCTGTTTAGTCTTTTTCCTTGTCCTCTTAAACTCAGTGGTGATGGTAAAACCTCAGACTAGTTAGGTTGACTTTCAAATATACCAGCAGCCTCTGAGATAATTTAGGGGACTGGCCACGGGCACGCACCCATTGTAAGGACTCCCCTTATAACCTTGCCATGCTTTTAGTCACTGTTTTGCCCCCTTCTCTTTCCTTCCTTCCTTCCATCCTTCCATCCTCCCTTCCTTTCCTCCTTCTCTCCCTCTCTTTCTCTTTCTCCTTTCTTTCTCACCATCCGCTGAACACTACTGTTCTATTCTCTGGCAAGATTTTCGACTACATTAGATCATTTGAATCATGGCATCTTTCTGTGATTATCTGATTTCACTTAGCACGATTTCCTTACTGTCCCCCAGTGTTGTAGAGTATAATGTAATCATTTTTTATGCTTCAATAGGATTCATACATATGAATAAATTCATATACATAAACATTATATGCTCCTCTGTTGGTACACATTTAGGATTTATTCACCTCTTGCATGTCTTGAATGATGCTGCAAAATAAACATATGGGGACGAATATCTCTTTGAGATCTTGATTTCAACTATTTTGGGTGATTGTCTCAGAAGTGAGATTCCTGGATCATATATAGTAGTGCTGTTATTTATTTGAAGGAAACTTCCATGCTTGTTCTTTTCTAGATCAGTGTCATCATTTTATATAAGCACCAACTGAATAATGGAACAACAGAATGATGCAAGAATTATGATTTTTACATGTTTACCACTCATGGTTAAATTGTTTCAAGAAAAAAAATTTAACATGGCTATATTAAGGATATGAGGTGATAACTCAAAAACTTGAAATTTTGATTTGTGCTTCTCTCGTTGAAAGGGTTTTGGCCCAGACAGGACACTGTAGCCAGGAAAGCCTCAACCAGAAGCAGGAAGCCCCTATTTCCCCCGCCCCTAGGAATTTACCTGTGACGCCATCTTCCTGCCCCTGGAAATTTACCTATGGCGCCAAACCTAGGAACAATGGGCTACCTGTGCATCCTTAATGCTCCCCTTAGGTTCCACCCCAAACCGAGGCTACTTACATACCCTACCGGGCCACGTGTCCAGGAAAGATAACCTGACGCCAGCGGTGGCGGGTGCCAGTCATCTCTCTCTGTGTTCTCAGAATAAAGGCCACTTTTTGTTTTATACTTCTCATCTTTTGGAAATATTTTTCATCTTTTGGAAATAATCCTATCATAGTGACTCATCACATTGGGCATTTCTTCACATATCTGTTGTGCAAGTAATTTTTTTCAGAATTTCCAATTCATACTTTCCCATTTTTTATTAATTTGGGTAGTTTGAGTATTTTTACCATTGAGTTGTAAGAATTTCTTATAAACTCATCAAGTATATGGATTGCAAATATTTTCTTATTCTATCAGCTGAAAATTTTCTCTGTTGACTGTTTCTTTGTTGTGTAGGAAACTTTTAGCTTGATACAGCCCCACTTACTGAGAGTGTCTTTATTCTCTATTTTTTTTCAGGGTCACACCCAAAAAATCAGTGCTAACATAAATTTCATTAGGCTCCCCTATATTTTCTTCTAGGGTTTTTATATTTTTGAATTTTACATTTAAATCTTTCATCCATTTTCATTTGACTTTGATTTGATTCATAGTATAAGTCAATCATTCAGTTTCATCCTTTGGCATACAGAGACCCATTTTTCTCAATGTTATTTGATGGTATTTCCCATCATTATTATTCTTGGCACCCTTGTTAAAGATCAGTTAACTGTGTATTTGTGTATGTATTTCTGATTTCTCTATTCTTTTCATTATTATGTATCTGTTTTTATTCAAGTGATTTAAAATACTCTAGATTTTTACATTTTTTAAAATAAAAAAATGAGGCGTCTCAGTTTTGTTGTTTGTCAAGATTATTTGGGTTATTCTGGGTCCTTTTTAGTCTATAATTTTTCATTTAAATCAGTAAACATGTCACTGAGATTTGACAGAAATTGCAAGGAAGCTGTAATTATTTTGGGTAGCAATAACATTTTAGCAGTATTAAATCTTCCCATCCATGGACCTAGGATGATTTTGTATGTATTTTTTTGTTTGTTTGTTTTTACTTCTTACAATACTTTGCACTTTTCAGTGTATAAATCTTTTGCTTCTTTAAGTTTATTTCATGTTTATTTCCATGTCAAAAAATAATGTGGAATAATTTTCTTAATTTCTTTTTCACCTTATTTATTGTTTCTAAGAAGAAACAAAACTGATTTTTATTAGTCCATAAATTTATAGATTTACCAATTTGTGTGTGAGTGTATGTTTAATTTTTACAACTTTCTACATCTAAGATCATTTCATATGAAAACAGAAGCAATTTTAGCTTTACTTTTCTTATTTGGATGGTTTCTATTTCTTTTGTTCAATCTGGCTAGGATTTCTGGTACTATACTGAACAGAAGTAGTTTTGTTCCTTCCTTGTATTGTTCCTAATCTAGGGGACAACTTTTTTTTTTTTTTTTTTTTTTTTTTTTTGTCTTTTTCATTTTTATCGGTACCAGGGATCGAACTCACGACTGCCTGCTTACAAAGCAGGCGCTCATGCCACTGAGCTAAATCCCCAGCCCCCTAGGGGAAAACTTTTTAGTGTTTTATTTTTGAGTAGGAGGTCAGCAGTGGTTTTTTTGTATGTGGGCTTTACTATGCTGAGAAAATTTTCTTCTACTTCTAGTGTTTCTTTTTTAAATAGAGAAAAGGTTTTGGCTTTTGTCAAATATTTTATCTGCATCTGTTGAGGTGAGTATTTTGTTTTATCCTTCATTATTTTAATGTGTATCACACTGATTTTTCATAGGTTACGATGTCTTTCTTCCTTGAGATAAACTTATTCATTTATTTATTCGCACTGGGGATCAAACTCATGGCCTTGTGCTTGTGTACAGGCAGGTGCTTGTGCTGCTGAGATAAGTTCCCAGCCTGAGAGAATGAGGTTTTTAAATAGGCTGTTGAATTCAATTTGCTACTATTTTGTGGAATTATTCTATATCACTGATACTACAGATATTAATCTTTTCTTTTTTTCATATTCTTCCTGGTTTTTGTATCAGAATTTTATCAGATTTATAGCATTAGTTTGAAGGTATTCCTATTGTTAATTTTTTGGAAATACTTGATGATTGATAGTAATTCTTGAAATGTTTCACAAAATACTGTGAAATGTGGCTATCCAGTGCCGGACATTTTTTCTTGGGAGTTTTTTGATTATGAATTCTATCTGCCTAGTTATAAGTTTGTTCATATATTCAGTTTCTTCATGATTAAGTATTAGTGGTTTGTATTTTTCAAGGATTAATTTCTTTTAGATTACCCATTTTACTCATATGCCTCTTAAATTTCTTGTTTCTGTGGTATCACTTGCAACATTATCATTTTTATCTCTGACTTTAGTTGGGTCTTTTCTATTTTATTAGTCTCCTTAAAGAACTTTCATATAATAGAAGTCAGTAGTATTACTACAAATAGTTCTTATAAAACCAAAACCAAAACCAAAAAAAAACTAAACTCAAGTTTAACTAAGCCTGAAAAGTTAACTTTATTTACTGATACTATATTTAGAAAGAAATAATTTAAACATCAGGAGAAAGTAGGTACATTTGAAAAGTTGAGATAATCTTTTGCATAATTGATTTAGTTTCTGCTACTTTTCAACAATAAGCAGAGAAAAAACAAGACAGGACTGCCTTCAGTCTAAAAGACATGAAATTCACAGTGGTGTGTATGAATTTTAGATAATTATTTGGATCATTAATTATAAAACAACACCCTTTAGTCAACTGGGAAAATTTGATTATTGTATGATATATACAAAGAATTGTTAATTTTGTTAGATATTTAAATAGTTTTGTGGAGTTGTAAGGAAACTAGAGATACACAGTGAATGATAACAAGATAACACGTTATAAAATGGGTTTAAATTTTTTTTGCTTAAAAATATTTTAGCAAAGAAATCTGGTAAAACACAAATAGCAATAAATTCAACAAGAGGTATGTATGTTTGATAGCTGTGAACTCGGGTTGGTCTATGTGTTGTTTTCTTCATTTTAATGTATGATTCAAATTTAAAACATTTTAAATGTAGTGAATATTTCTATTACTTGTGTTGGTTGGTAAGGACTTTCAAAACTGACAAATATAGAAAACACAAAGAAAAATCTAAAGATATAATCACACAGACCAGATGAAATCGGGTGCATTCAGGTCGGTATGGCCATGATATAATCACATAGAAGCTGAAAGTTTTATAATGAAAAATAAGCATTAAAAAGCTATACTTGGACATGATTTGTAACATAAAGATAGAAAAATATTCTTTGTTATAACATTTTTAAATGCGAAAATGACAAGTAGGAAAGATGAGAATAGAAAAAATTGCCAATATAGGCCCCATTCTATTTTAAAAATTTACCAAAGAAGGAAATGAAATAGCATTATTTATCAATGAAAGATAATTTTTTAGAAATGATTTTTTTAAAAGGGGGTAAGAATAATTCTAGGCTTTCTCATACTTACTGCCTCAAAATTTATGTTCCTCAGAGGAGTCATATTTCTAAACATTTTCAACCTCCAAAATCTTAGCTTAAAAAAATCTGCACAAATTTGTTGGAAGAGAGTTTTTCATTATTGTTTTAATGTGCATTCCCGTAATTACCACAGCATTTTGCATTTATTTATGTTTACAGACTACTTGGTATCATTTTATAAAGAGCTTTTTCATTTCATTTATTTTTTCCTATTGGAGTTTTCACTATTTCTAATGTGTTTGTTAGGGACTTTTACTACCTTAATTCTATTTCTGTTCATATATTTTTCATGGATTTCCTGTATTTCTTTAAGTGTGTTTCCACAATGAGCTTTTGATATGCATATTGTTATATTCAGTGGTTACAAGGAGAACAATTATACGCATAGAATGTATATTATTATTTTCTGATGGTCACCCAGAGTTAAATACAAGAAAGTGCAGGAAATCTGTCCACAACACTAAAGACCTAGAAAATCCAGCCAATGGCGGTCTGGATTCCACAGCAATGTCCTGTATCAGTTCAGATGGAAACCTAGAGCCCGTGACAACGCCTCCCATGAGTCTAACTGGAGGTCTAGAGCCCATGAGGACTCACGAAAGTCTGTTTTATGGATCCATGCTGGGAAGGTCCAAAGATCAGCAGCGTAAGCCAGAAAATCTGTGCTAGCAGAATGAAGGATCTGTGTCACCAAGCTGAGGGATTTGCACTAGAGCCAAGAAGTGACTCTTAAAGTAAGCACCAGGGCTTTCCTAAAAAGCACCACAGCCATCCTCAGTAACAAAGGTCCTGAGCTCCACCAATGATGGGAACAGTTGAGTACGTGTCAGGAGGCCAGTGTGACAACTTTTCTTGGAAATTAAATAGCACACATCTTCCCTTCCAGAACGAGGAAGTGATGCTCCAAGTAAGAACCAGGGCTCCTCTGAAGTGAACCATAGCCATTTTCAACAACAAGGTCCTGAGCTCCTCCGATGACAAATGGTTGAATTCCTATTGTGGAAGCCAGCATGACAGGTTCTTCCAGGAGGACTAATGGTTCCAAACAACAACACTTAGGAGCACTTAACAACCCTGCCCTTCCTTTCTCTGTCTTTTGTGCTGGCAACTTTCCTCAGGTGGGCCATCTACATGCAGCACCATGCTGATTTAAGTCAGCTGGTGTTAAGTTGATCCCAGTTTTTGATACATAGCACATATAAATTCTAGTTCTGTGTGACCAAATTTAACAATATCTCTTTCAAAATGACTTCTGCTTTTGGCCCAATCCCTACAAAGGCCTTCTGCATGCATGATTACATAAATCATCATTCTTATTTTCCTTTAATATTTTATAGTTTTATTTTTGTATTTAAATTCGTAATTCATTTGAACTTTGTTTTGGTGCTGTATAATATATGAGCTGATCTAATAGCATACAAATGATTAGTGGTTTGTTCCAGCACCATTTAGTGAATTATGCATCATTTCCTATTTGATTGGGAGTTCCAACTTTATCAGAAAAGTGCTACTTTTTAATGTAGTGCTTATTATCATCAGTGGTTAATAAAATGTATTTCTCCTTTCTTTCTTACCCTACTTTTAGTTTCATAGGTTTTCTTTTCTTTTTGTTTTTAGAATCTGATTATTTATTTACTTCAAGTTTTGATGATATATTGGCATTTCATTTAGCTAAAACATAGTTTTTCTTAATGTCTAAGTGAACTACTTGAGATTAAAAAGGATTCAGTTTTTTTGGATATTGTGTCAAGGCTGTAATTATGATTGTCAGGTAATTATGATTATCTTGCCATACTCAGTACCAACAAAAGGCACACACTGAAAACATTTTAACATTGACTCGAAATGGAGTTGCTGAAACAATTTGGATCCACTTAAATTCCAATGCTAATTTGACTGCTACGGTTTCCTTGTGGAAAAGGGAGCGGGAAGGGATTATCTGTGTTATAACCTATGCTGCTCTTGTTTTCTTTCCTATAGTTATGAGACCTGTATAGTTTAACTTTCATTGGGTACATATATTCTTGAAGGAAGAAAATATGTGGAAAACCTGAGAAAGGCTGATGTATAACATTTAGCATGCACTAATGGAGAAGTTTGAAGATCGCCCTTCCACTCTGCTCCAGTGAGAAATGGTGAGTAAAAAACTGGAAGAGTACACAATTGTGCAGCAGTGCAGTGTCTCTGGGGATATATAATTTGGTCAGGGTAGAATTATATCTATGCTGGGGACTTGCTGCCTTCCAGGTATCAGAGGACATTTTACTTTCCTGATGTATGTGAGGCTAGTTTCTATCACCCATCTCTTTTACTTAAGGAAGAAAGTTAGCCTGGATAATTCATTCTATGTTGCTGAGACTGGAAGACAGGAGTTGACTATGGAAGATGCTTTCTCAGCTGAAACTAAATGATGCTTTATGTGTCATCCCTAAACAAAGAAATTAGAAAACCACATATAGATAGACAAAAGCACATTAAATATGTGATAAAGTAAGTGGTTTTGTAACTGATTCTGTTACTTAAGTTCAAGCATTTTTTTCTCACTGGTCTTTGTCAACTATAAATTAAGATAGAAGAAGTTGGACTATGGGCAGCCAAGGCAGTACAGAATGCTTTGAGGATCACATTTTTAAGGGTTATTAAACACAATTTATTTTGTCAGATTCCAATTTATCTGTATTTTAACAAATCCTGGGAACGTGAGTCTTGACATCTTGTACATCCCTATTAATTATGCACGCTTGAGCTCCTGTTCTTGCTTGACCTTAAAGACTGTGCTGTTTACTCTGGTGAGAACTGAACAGAATACAATGCTCATTCTGAATGAATTCAACTGCCCCTATTCTCCTTTTTTTTCTTGTTTGAGATTCATTAAATGTCTGGAGTTCAACTAGGAGAAAAAATAATGATAAGTGGAAATGGGTTCAAGGGATATCAGTAAGACAATGAAAAAGTTTAAAGGTATATTTTCAAATTCAGTGCTATAGCCCTGAGGAATTTTATTGTTGGAAATAAATAGTTTACATACCTGTGTTATACAATGCTGCCTTTTAAATTCCCAATTATTTCTGAGAGTTCTTCCAGTGTATAAAAAGTCACCATTTTTGATCTGTCATTGATGTCAATAACACTACAGTTCTCTTCTTTAGTGAAATTGGAAAGAGCATGGATAAGCTTAAAATTTCCAAGAAAATATAGCCATCTCAGTTTACTCAGATTCAAACAGACCTTCCAGATACAAATTTAGTCAACTCAGAGGTGTACTTCTTTTCAGGATCAGTTCTTCTTTGTTAAATATTCCTTCTTCCTGCTTCCTCTCTCTTCCTTCACATGGGTATGTGCGTGCTAACTTTGCAGGCAAGATGAAGACAGGTGGCTTTAACTTGAATGCTATTTTCTGAGTAGTGGTTAGTCTTTGGTGCCAGTGGATGTTTAGCACTAATATTTGCTGCAGTCTGATTGTATCCTGGTCCCATCAAGAATTAAAGCTGTGGTCCTTGGCACAGCTCAGCCCTCCAGCTGTTATTAGTACAGTCTTGTCTGAGTTGACATTCTTTTCTCTGTGGGTCTTCTACTCCCACCCTGTTCTCTCAAAATACTTCACACTACTTCACTACAGGTACTCTGTAGCTGACCCTGGTCATCATCAGTATGGATCTTCTGGAGTTTCTAAGCAATAGAAACAGGTTACACAGAGCCAGGCTATACCATCTTGCCACTCACAAATACTGTGGGGGAGTTATGTTGCATGAACTGAACTAAATGCTTCTTTATAAATTTTTCAACTTATCTGTACTGTGTCTGAGGAATCTGGTAAGTCATTAGATTTTCCCAAAGCCATTTGGTTATCTTGCAGTTGTACTACAAGCCCTGCAGACTTAAGGATGATGCTGGCATCCAATTTCTTGTTTTCATTTTTGCCTTTTTCATTCATTCTCATAAAATGATTATAGCTTTAAGCTGATGATGATAATGATGATGATCATGATGATGATAGACACTTTTGTCACTGTAGCTCTTACAATCTGTAAGATACAGTTCTGTGAATTAACTCATTCAGTCTTCATAATACTTTGGTATGGTTCTTTCATTAGTCTGTTTTTATGGATGAGAAAAGCATGCATAATGAGCCAAATAACTTGTTTAAGGTCTCGTGGCTAGTCAGTGATAGTGCCAGAATTTGAATACAGGCAGTTTGGCTCCAGAGTCTCTGTTTTCATGCTCCAATTCTGAACATTTCTTCTTTTCATCTGCCTAGCTTTCTTCTTTCATTTCCTCCTTTTTCTTACAATGGACTTTTGGGATTATCATGTCTGTCTAGTTTCCCTGTAAAGAAGATACTGAGGGCAAACCGACGTGCCAACATTTGATTGTTGAAATAAAGTTAAGGAGTGAGGGAGAGGAAACATAAATGTGTTAGTGAGCATAACAGAAAACAAGTTTCTTGATTTCCCCAGATATCTTTTGAGAAATAGTGTCTACCCAAACATCTGTCTGGGAGACAGGAAGGGAAAAATGCCTGTCTGTCCACTGGTTTCTGTTTTTCCCATGGGTCAAATTTGGCCCCATGGAGATCTAATGACCATGAGTGTAAAAAGAGTCCTGGTGACTTATTGACCCCCCTTTCTCTGAGCTCTATCCTGGAGAGCAGGTGTATGGCAGGATTCAGATACACTGAACCTTTAGGTTTGTAATCACAGTGAACTCAGGAAACAACTGGCTATAGGAGACAGCTGGCTACACAACCCAGGGAAGACAACTAGCACCATGGCCAAAAGTGAAGCACGTGCATGGATCTGGGGTGGCGAATTAAATCTGGAACACTCTGCTCTCCCTTATCTATAAGGAAACCATATTTCCAAACCTAAACCAGCTTTTGATGATATTAACACTATTACCTAAGGAAAATACAACACAGAGACAAATCAGACAAACCAGGACCCACCCTGAGGGTCCGGTTGGATTTGCACATGCCTTGTTTAGCTTGTTTTCATGTAAGTGGTAGAAATTTGGTATCTACTTCATGGCCCACAAATGTTCCAGGTGTCAGTTCTGGTCCAACCTGACTCCCAGTTGGCCCTCAAGCTAACTCCTCTGAGCAGAGTTCATTTCCTGTCCTAAAATTTATCTTTCCTATGATATTTGACACTGGCAGTGTTAATTCTTTCTGGAGTAACTCTTTGTGCACATCAGAGAAAGGACTGGCTCTATAAATTCAAGGAGATAGTCACATAATCATCGGACAACATCAGCTTTTTAAGTCTTGTTTCATTGGCCTTAGGAACCTATGAAGACAGCCATAGTGCAATACAAACTCAGTCCTGTTGTATTTTTAAAAATCTATTTACTGACCTTTAAAAAACTCAAGTCCAAATTTACCTCACAACATTCTCTTTTCTTCATAGAAGTGATGGGTTGTAACAAAAATTTAAAAAGAGGTTTCTATTATCAATCTTAATATAAAACTTGGATTTTAAAATGTTCATAAATTAAGGAAAATAAACACTAAATATTTTCTTTCTTTGCAACAGGGAGAGTTAAGCTCTTATCAATATCTTATATAAACAGTAAACATGTTCCTTGCAGCATAATTCAGTAAAGCAGTAGTAACTAGTAAAAGTTAGTTTGTTAATCTACTTTTTAAGTGAAAATAGAGCATTTCAAGATGCAGATGTTCTACTCTCCCGTGGCCCATGGTTCTGTTTCTGTGGAGATAATTCCACAATCCACACAATACCACAATAGCACAAACCACAATCCTCACTTTCGTAGTTGGCCTTTATGAGGGCTCATGTCCACATTTGTCCCTAAAGATCAATTATCTCCACCAAATAGTTACAAAGTATATAAAAGGCCACTATGCTTACTTTCTTTGAGATTATTCTTGACTATTTTCACTTTATTATTTTGCTCTCCCATAATTATCCATTATCACTTAGAATATTCACTTTGTATTAGTGAAATAAATTCTCCTTTCTCTGATTAGATCTTAATATTTTCTATTGTAAATCACTGAACCATTAAACCAAAGAAAAATAGAAGAAGAATCAACATCCCTAAGATTTTGTTGCACTATGGAGTCTGAATTACTTTTTAAACCTGAACTAGCAGAAGAGCGTTTATGGAGCAGAAGTTTGAGAAGTTTGGTGTTGTTTTCTCTGAAATCTTCCCCAAGTTTCAGGGAAGAGTGGCAATGGGGATTATGTCATTAGAGTCAGATGCCTGACAGTAATACAATATGGCCACATTCCAGAGCTCAAGGGAGTATGCTGTCCTGTGAGTCCTCCTTTGAAAACTGCTTTGGGTGGGAGTGTAGTTCAGTGGTAGAGTGCTTGCCTAGTGTGTACAAGGCGGTTTTAGCAGTGTATAGTACTGCTAAAACAAAGAAACTGTTTTTTTTTTTTTTATGTTGGATCATTGAACAGAACAGTTTGCACTCTCATTGTCTACCTTTTATGTTTTAATTTTGTAACTTGAACAACTATTTCTAAATGACAATATGTAATTTATCAACTAGTGATTTCTTAGCATTAATTTTTTTGAAATTCTGTATTATTTTTACCCTTTTTCCTGTTTTGCTGTTTTTCTTTAAATAAAGAAAGATTTTTTTAAGCAATTCATATTTTTGTATCTTTTGGGTGATTTAACTATGTTATATGAAATTTTGAAGATACAAAATATCAAAATGTTCTGAATCTAATAAGACTATTGATACTTTTGCATATACTCTAATATAAACATAAATGTAACTGTGATACCTCAACTTTTAACATGCATAATATTAGAATAGTTGCATTATTTTCATGATACTATAACATGTTCATAATGATCGCAATCTTACTAAAGATTTTCTAAAACAGAATTCAGTCTTTTATAACACAGTATATCTGAAAGTCTTAATATCGTCTCTTTATCCATGGGCCTTGTGTTTCTTCCTAGTAGGTTTTAAGTAAATTATTATAGCAGGCCTTAAATTCGCATTATTTGTAAAGGATTAAATCATTTTTTTCTCCAATTGTACTTTTTTCCCCTCTGGCGGTCTTCTTTTTCAAGTCATTTTAGTCATAAATTTACTTTTTGTTAAAAGTCCAGTTGTCTCAGTAATTAAGTAGAAACAAATTAATTAACCAGAATTAAAACATGGTAAGTGGAACTGTATGTTGTTGTGCAGCTGAAATAACCATTAGAGGGTTTAGAGGTTTTTATTTTAAGTTGGGTATTTAAGGGTCACAGACTGTGCCAGGCAGTAATAGGAAGTACACAGTGAGTTTTTCTGTTATTCGCAAAGCCCTCTACTTGCAAGCATGAAAACAACTTTTTTATACCACTCTAGTAAACAGCGTTTAAAATTAGGTGCCAGTAAGAATATCTGTCACAGTAAAGATTATTTGATGTTTGAAAGATGATAAAATCATTCAGATTTTATTCAAAAACAGCCACACAATGTAAACAGATTCTTTCTAAGCATATGGATGGTGAAGTTGACAGCATCCATTTTAGTCACTATGATGATGTCCTCTTTATCATAGTTATTTTGAGCCTATCACTGTTCAATATTCAGCAAAAAGGATAGACTAACTCTGAGTTAAATTTTCTGTTTTGTTGAGTTTTTTTTTAAACATTGAAGCTTGAATAAATAAGCCAAGTAGAAATAGTCAAAGTAATAGCAGAAAGGTTGCTGTAGCTGCTCAAAGGCTGATGTTTCTGGAGGTCAGAGATGTCAGGTTTTTATCCAGTGTCTTCAAGAATTTTCACTTTCTTTTCACCCAGCAGATCATGTCCAATGCAGGCACTGAGTCATATTTTTAGGGCCCATTTCTCGACACCGAGGGGACAGTAGAAGTAAAGGATGAGAGTGAGGGAAGTGGGCTTTGGAAACCTACCTTCACAAAATGTTGACCACTAAGAATTGCTAAGTAAAAAGCTATCAGACAAAAAATAATATTTTGTAGATATTAATTAGTATCAGTCCAGATCATTTTCCTTTTTTTCCCTTCTTCCCTTCTTGCTTCAGGGAATAGATATGGTAGGACAACAAGCAAATGGCCCATGTCTTGTCCTGACCTTGCCCTGAATCTCCCCACACACCTAGAGCCTTTTTATTATTTGAAAAGCAGAAAGGAAAAAAAATCCAGCAAGGTGAGGATTTGAAGTCCTGCTTTGCAACTCTCAAACTAAAAGTGATGTCAGGCTCAGGGTGAAGAAAGCAAGCACGGATGAGAGTTTTCATGTTTTGGGTTCTGGATAGAAAGCCTTTTGGACTTTGGGACAAAAATCCAGAGTCAGTCTCTCAGAAGTAGATCTTAAGCAGAAGATCCCAGTCAAGTACTCTTTGAAGAAAGGGTTCTCAGGAGAGATCAATAAGGAAGTGAACATGGTAGGATTGGAAAGGGCAAAAGTCACCCATGGAAGTGATCTCAGGATAAACTCCAGAATCCTGACCTTACAGAGGAAAACTGAAGAGTAAGTTGTGCTCCAAGTTGTGCAACCCGAACCAGCTCCCTGCCCTCTCCAGCTCCCACATGTTCATCTTTGCACAGGGATTTCCCTCCATAGCAGTAAATGTCAGAAGGTAAAGCAGCCTCAGTTGTCCCAGGAAAGCTTCCAGAAAGATCACAGGTACTAGGTGTTAGAAACAAAGGCACTGCATGTGAATGTAGAGAGTGAACTTTGCACAGAAATGACAAAACTGGGACTGACTCAAGTTATGTATAGACAGCTGAAGTTGTCTGTCTGCACATGGAATAAGAAGTGTAGCATTACAGTAACAAGCCTTTGATATGTGTGCATCTACCACTGTATCATTCTCATTGCTTTTCTTGCTACATTATTTTTTTCTGACTTCCATTAAAACTGTAAGAGATACAGGGAGCAGAAATCATGCCACTTATTTTAGGTATATAGATTTGAAAAGCGACAACCTCAATCAGCTTATTTGGACAGTGAAAGCCTCTTTTTATCTTTCAAATCCATTTTTCTTTCTCTGGTCTGTAGTAACAATCTACAGAGCATTTTTGCAATCTGACACAAATCCAGAAAGTAGGAGTCATAATAGGAAAGCTAAACTGTGGCTCCTGTCAGAATTCTTTGGCTCTCATATTTGAACCTCTGAATCAAAATCGCTCTGCATGAAGCAGGGGTTTCCATTTTTAATGACCTCCTCAGAGGCCGTTTACCCAGCCAGGGAAAAGCGGTTTGGAATTGTGATATGTCAGCATGATATGAGAAAGAGCCATCTAGTTTATTAGTAAATTGCTTGTATGTCTGTGCATGGTTGACAAGCAGCATGCAAACTGAAGAAGATTCCCTCACTCCCAATGTGAGTACCAGCAACAACTAAGATTGTAGCCTGAACAGAATAAAAAGAAGGAAGTTGTCTTAGTTACTTTTCTCTTTGCTGAGACAAAATGTTTGACATCTAAAGTTAAACAATGAAAGTTTTATTGTAGCTCACAGTTTGTGGAAGTTTCTGTTCATAGTTGTCTGGCTCCAAGGCAAGGTGGCAGGGCAGAGGGGCAAAGAGAAGAGAAACAGTTCATGGAAGGCAGAAGAAAGAAAGTGAAGGAGAAGCAACAGCAGCCTTCTTTCTGCCCTTCATATTCACCCAGGCTATCCGCCTTTCGAGTGGTACCACCCACACTCAGAGTGGCATTCCCATTACCCACACCCAGAACCACGTCAAATCAATCAGAGAACTAATTCATTCACCGCACACTCTTAATCCTAGCTTCACGTACCCTAGATACAGCCACCTCTGAAAAGTTCCGCCTGTGCCCACTTTGGGAGGACATCTCTACACACAAGCCGTAATAGAAGTCTTCCCTTCCTTTTTCAGAGGAGAACTGGTTTATTTTGTTTCTTTAGGTATTATCTCTAGGCTTCTAACACGCTCTTCAGCCTTCCAATGCAGCAGAAGCTTTAACTTTCTTGCACAGACCCACACCAGACTCTCCTGTGAGCCTCAGCCCCAGACCTTTTGAGTGGATCCTCTGGCCCTCCAGAGGACAGATGACCATTTCATGTTCCATCCGTGATATGGCAGATGACCATTACAACTCTTCCACTTTTATTTCTGTAAGCCTACCTAGCAAAAACTTTGTACAATCATACACATATTTCGTATTGAATCTGATCCTGTAGCGAACCCTAATACAGGAAGTGTGATGGTCCAGTCCTGATAAGGAGGACCATCGGTAAGGAGCATGGTTTAAGTCCTGGTTCTGCCATTTACCATCTATGTGAGTTTAAGTCACTGACATTATTTTCCCCTTCTGTTATCTGCAGTATGTGGTAATGTAAGTACTTACCTGAAAGTATTGTGTTGAGAATTCAAGCAGGTAATGTGGCTAAAGTGCTAATCCCGGGACTCTGCATAAAGTAAATTCTTATTAAGTCTATTTATTATGATGTTTTATTACTTCTTATGCTTTCCTTTCTTTTTAAAAATCCTTTTCTTTTAATTGCTTAGTATAGGTCATCCTTTCTCTAACATTATGTTTTTTCCCTCACTGAATGTCAATGGACCACTTCTCAGGACTTGAGAATTATTCAGCAAAGCAAACCTTTTGGTTAATGTTGTTTACTGGAGTGGGATTTGACTGGTGGCAATTTAGACACATAGCTGGCAGATGGTAGATGGCCTTGGGAGGCTATACTATTTGCTTAGAATACAGAGTACAAAATCTCTCTTTACCAGTCATTTCAAAAATAAGTCTCACTTAGAATTTCACTATAGTTAAAATCCTGGTGAAATATTCACTAGTTTAGTATTTATTTACAGCCTGGAAGCCCAGCAGTACAATTCTAGCAGTTATGTAATCTTAAAAGCAAATTCTACAGTTCCCTTAGAGCTCTTTTTTTTGTGCAACTAGAAAGATATGTTTGAAAGCCAGCTCAGGCCCAGCTCCAGTATCTGTGACAAAAATTTTAAAAATGAAAAAAGAATTTTTCTTTCTAATTTGGAAAGCAAACAAGATAAATAAAAAGAACAGGAGCAAGCCAGCTGTTAGAATGGCAACCAAATGGGACAGTTTTCAAAAAAGGCGAGAAATCACAGTTCAAATGAAACCAGAGTAAGGGTAATCTTCAGGCTCTCAGACTTTCATCAACTACTTAAGAGGAAGAAAGACCAGGTGACGATGAAGGGACAGTGATGACAGGAGTGAGATAAAAATAAAGGATTATCTTCATGTGGTCAAAGCACAAGAGCAGAGCCCACTGAGAAGGCTTTTCTATCGATAATAGGTGACTGACAGGATAACCTTAGAGTGTGGCAGGGTTGGACTGAAGATAGTACTTAGGGCAGAACTTTAAGGGAGTTTCCTTTGCCCAACCAGCAAGGTAAGTGACCACAAGAATGTCCATCTCCATGTTACTTTTAGCTCTCTTCCCAACATACCAGCTGGAAGAAATAACCTTCCCAGTACTCACCAGGAGATGTAAACAGTCACTAGAGATGTAACAGAGGGAGGACACAGCTAGGTAAAAGGAATAGAATCTCCATTGTTCCTTGTTTCTGTGCCTGGATCTTTACACAAGTCATGTCAGCTGATCCCATAAAGGACTTGTAGTTAATTTCTTATATTATAGAGGATGGTCCTAACTTTGCAAAGCTATGACTGCTGAGAAGCAAATCTCACCTCTCATCCCAAGAATTCTGTTTCCAGAACCTATTATCTGAACCTCTGGTTGTATTGCCTTACAGCAAGAAAACTTCTTCACTGAAAGAAAATTAATGAGGCCCTATAATGATACAAGAGACAAAGAACAAAGACCACGGTCTGTCTGTCAAGAGGTGCTTGATGAATCTTTAAGGCACCCAGAAGCAGGGATTTCACTCATAACGAAACTCACTTAGTAGGCTGCATTCGCACTGAGGCAGCAAGAAGTTGCAACAGAGTTCAGCTGTTCATGCCCTATCACCTGTTGGTTGCTTATGACATCCTGATCGAGTTCCATAACACTGTGATGAGAGATGAAACCCTGGAAATGGAATAGAAGCGGTTCTTTCTGATTTGAAATGCATCATATAAGTGGAAAGGAAGAAAGACTGGTAAGGACAACGTAGCCTATCAACGTTACAACAGTGATTTAAACCATGTTCTTAAAGGTCACTAAAGAAATACAAAAAGAGAGAGCTTCTAAGTCAAACATCCAATTTTAAGTACCAATGATTTCTGTAATCAAATATCTTAAATATATATATATGTATATATATATATATATACATATTTATATGATAGCTTGTATAGTTTTTCACAACTGGAAAAATGTATTTTATCAGATATATTTCCCATGAATTATTTTTTAAAATCATATTATTTTTTGGCAAATATGTACCAGAACAGCAATGAGTCAAATTCTGTTACATCTTTGCAATCTCACTCTCCCAATCTTAGCTTAAGCCACCTCTAGTCTGATTTTTGCCATTCTCAAATGTCAGATAAATAGAAGTATGTGAATATTTAGTTTTCTGTCTTTTGTACCTTTCACATAGTATAATAACTTTGTGATTCATCCATGTTGCTGCATGTACTTATAATCTGTTATTTTTTATTGCTGAATAGTATTTTATACTTAATATTCACAATTCATTTATCCATTTGCCAGTCACTGAAATATTTGAAGTGTTTTTCAGTTTTGGGTAAAACTTCCAAAATCATTGGAATATGTACGGCTTTGAGTAAAGGGCAGTAATGAACACAGTTTTATATGCTTATAATTCATATATTTTCTTTCATCAATATAGAAAAAAACTTGGGCCATTTACAAAAATTTACTTGCTTTATTTTATTTGGTTTTAAGAGTTTGTCATGGTTTATATCTAGATGTCTCTCCAAAGCCCCACGGGCTCATAGATGGAGCTTCTGCGGGTGATTGAATCGTGCATGTGTGATGCTGGATCATGAGTGTGTGATACTGAATTACTCCACTGGTGGGACTTTAACTGGGTGTGACTTTGAGGGGCAAAGCCTGGTGGGAAGAGGTGGGTCAGAGTGGGGATGATCTGGAAGGATTTACACAGGTGTAAATATTCTTCCTCTTTCTTTAACAGTGCTTACCTGCTTCCTGCCTTTCACGCCATGGATTCTTGCCTCTCTGCGCTGCCACTCTGCCTTGGAGCTAGCTGACTATTGCCTGAAACCTCTAAAAACTGTGGGCTAAATAAGCCTCTCTTTTAACTTGTGGATGCTGAGTATCTTTGTCCAGCAACAAAAAGTAATTAAGACAGTTTTTTGAGTATTCCGGATACAAACTGTTCAGCAGATTTTATTTTGCAAATAGTTTCTCTGAGATTATTGCTTGAATTTTTTCCCATTATTTCAGTTATTTCAAAGTTCAGAAGATTTCAATTTTCTGAAAAGTACAATTTATTAATTTCTGCTTTTATATGTCATTTTTGTGACTTATAAAAAATAGTTGTTTATCCAGTCTCACAGAGACTTTCTCTTATATATTTGTTTTACCTACCTTAAGCTCTGCTTTATATCTGAATTGCATTCTGTGCCCAAAGGTATTTATTTTGCTTTCTCCTCTTAGAAGGGCAACTATTTTTTTTGTTTTAATTTGTCTTGTATCATCAATCAATTTGTCTTATATCATCAATCTATTGATAAAGTAAGAAAAATTTATGATTTTGTAAATCATCTAGATGTTTTATATTTTGAGAGTGCGAGTGGCATTCTATTGGATCCCACATTTTACCTTCAAGTAGAATTCTCATGAGAAATATTTTATTTTATTTTTTATTTTAAAAAAGTTTTTTGGTGCCTTGTGTTTGCCACATAGGCACTTGTACCACTGAGCTATTTCCCCAACCAAGAGAAATATTTTAAAATCTGGGGAAATTCCTGATGAATTTAATAGCCATTTCCAAATCTGGAAAATACTGAATGTATAAAATTATATATACAATAGAGTCTGGTTTGGTTACTTTCTCATTACTGGAGACCCATAATTTACATTAGGAAAGATTTCTTTTGAATCAATTTGTAGAGATTTCAGCTGTAGTCAGCTGGCTGTGAGGTGGAGCAGCATGACAAGGGGGCATGGCAGGAGAGCTTGCAGCATGGCAGGCAGGAAGCAGAACGGGACAGATGAGGAAGAGGAATATCATACCCTCCAGGCCAGCCCACAGCGACCCACCTCTTCCCACTAGGCTTCAGCTCTCAGCATCACACCCAGTCATAAACTCAGCAGTGGACTAGTTCACTGTCCACTCATAAGTAACATGGCCCCCATGGTCCAGTCACTGCCCCAACTCTTACCTTTGAAGGCATGAAACTTTGGAGGATGTTTTAGAGGTGTGACCTCAAGACCTTCCTCTGGTTGGGGGAGGTACTAAAAAGTTGTTTAGTTCCGTTCCCTTCCTGTCCTACTTCTCAAATCCCCTATTCATTTTTCGAGGAATAGAAAAAGCAGTCACTTTTGTATAAATCTTTAGAGTCTTCATCTATACAACCCAACCAAAAGCATAAATCAAAACTAAAATAGAAAAGCACAAAAATATTAGCTGAGTACATAGACTAGAAATTTATCCATAAACAATTTTACTGTGTATCGGAAGGATAGCCCTTGCATATTCATTTACTCCTCCACTCCTCCTTCCCTTCTCTTCACCTCTTCACTCTCCCCCAGACCAGACTCCTCCTCTTTACTGCTGTCAGCTAAGACCCAAAGGCCACTTTCTCCCATTGCTGTGTTCACTAAAACATCAGCCCCTCTGGAAGATGTGCTGTTAGAAAATGACCATTTAATATGTTTATTTCTATGTATGTAACAGGGCACTGAATTTTCAGGGACTGGCCAAACATTTTTTCATCATAGGAAAACACCCTTTAAAACAAAAGGCTAAATATGACTGTTCCTCATATCTAAGGAAGACTTCACAAGGTTTGTCTTCTTGAGGCACTGCTTAATTCAAGACAGGATTTGTTTTCCAGTCCAAATTATGCAATTTATATCTTATTTTAATAAAATTGTGTTCACTTCTCTAGAGTTCTGTTCTCTCATTTTCCATCATCTGCTCCATATCAGTGTAATCTGTAAGATAAAATTTTCCAAACAGTAATTTATCAGTCTTCCATGATAATACTACTACTTTATTTTGTATGAAGGTTGATGGGATGGACTCCGGGGAGAGTCAGCAGAACAATTCAGATGGGACGCTGTGCATTCCACTGAGTCTTGTTATTTCAGCTGAACTATAGTTGTTTAAGAAAGCAAATTATATGCATCTCTTCCCAATTCTTCTTTCGCGGCAACTTGACCATAGCTTGAAATTCATGGCTGTGGCTAACACACTTTATGTCTAGATGTTCCACCAAAGTCTCATTTGGTCATACGGCTTTTCCACGGGTGGCTGAATCTAGAGTGTGTGATGCTGAGATTAAGGGCATGTGACTAGTAAATCAGCCTACTGATTAGTTTGTCACAATTCTGATAGTTCTGGCTAGGATTAAGGGTACAAATGCTATTCCCACCATGGGATGGGTAGCCTATGTACAATACAAGGGACAGGAAGACTTTTGTCTCCCCCACTCATTGCTTTGCTGCCTGCTGTCTCTTATGAATGCTTCACCTCTGTGAGGCCTGTTTGCCAACCATTCTATCTTGGAGCCAGCTGATAAAAGTAACTAAGAAAATGGTAGTGTTTCTGCCATGCCAATCATCACTTGCTACAAATCAGTGCAAAAAAGAAAAAAAAAAAAAACTCCAGAAAGCAAACATTAAATATTTAGCAGCATACCACTGCCCCAGAATCTCTTTGGGGAGGGGGTGCAGTTCTTCTATACCATAGTGCAGGTAGTTATATCAGGGCTAATAATCCTATTGACCCTATTCTCTGTTCCAAGAGTAGGCAGGGGACCACATCCTTTTTGCACTCTTCTAAGCTTTCATGATTTGCACAACCGTCGGTAGATATTTCAAGAAGGGCAGATCATAGTCTTTGCTGGGATTGTTGCTGAAATTATTGAGAAAGGAACACTTTTTCCTTTTGAGAGTTTGGGTACTAAGGTGCCTAGATATCTGGAACTTCTGAAGGACATGTGGATCATAATAAGAGAAAATCTTGAAAATGAAACCAGCACAGAAGAAAATAAAGCTTGAAGAATGAGAAAAAAATGATAGAGGTTATGATTATCACCTTAATAAGTGGATAGAACTCTTTTATCTCACTAAATTAAGCCAACAGATGCCTTGCATTGCTTCAGTTATTTTGAGTTCAGTTTCTGTTACATGTAAACACATAAATCTGATTTATGTAATTGTATGAAGAACATACACACACAAGCGTGTGCACACACACACACACACACACACACACACACACACACACACTCCAAAAACCAGACAATATTTTTCAGAAAATAAGGAAAAGGAGACTTTTTAAAAGGCAGTGTGAAACATTTCATTACTGTGTAAGGCAATATGAATTATACTTTTTCACATTCTTTTAATTTCAGATTTTGCCTAGGAACTTACCAAACAGGCCTGGAAAACTTGTTATTAGACACAAAGCAGACATTTGGAAATTAGCATCCTTTTTTTTTTCTTTCCCTGCATTTCTCAGGCCATATTAAAATGTCAGAACTCTACCCCCCAGGGTGGGAGCAATATATGAAATAATATTCTACCATCAGAGGAGCTTTTCCAAAAATAGGGAACTATTATTGTGAAGAATGCACAATGCAAAATGCTCAGTGCCCTGTTTTTCTTTGTAAACAATTTTTTTTTTTGGTAAACAATTTTCAAAGAAACAAAGCCAACAATAACCCACTGATTTACTATTAGCAAGTTTTGATAAAATTTGGTTCCCAAAGGTAGAAACAGGCTGGGGAAATAAATCTCCTATACAGCTGGATCAAAGTCCAATGATGCAAACTTCCTGGAAAGCAATTTGTGAGTACAAAAACTCATATATTTCTATTTGGTTTTGTTTAACACATTCCACTTCTGGTATTGCATGTTAAATAATTGGAAAATCAGGAGAAAATTCATACAAAATAATTTCTTTGCAGCCTTGTTTATAATTCAGAAAGATTGATGGAATAATAAATGCATAGTTAAGTAAATTAGAGCTTAGTAACACTATAAAACTATTTTTTCAGAAAATATACTTCTGAGAATTTCAAATGTAGTCTTGGCATAATGTATAAGAAAAAATTCAGTGCAAAACTGTTGTAGTATGACCTCACAGGAAAATTCATGTGTAACTCATGACTCATCTCATTTCAGGCTAAGAACATTTCAAAACTGTAAAGCTTTTGTGTCTGCCAAGACTTTATCCAGTCCCCCAACTGTTGAATTCTTATTTTTGTCTCAAAATTCAGCTCAATTACTATGCTTCTTGTAGAATTTTTTTTTTCTTTTAAAGGTAGTACCTAAGGACAATAAATCTTTGTTTCCTGAAGAATAAAGCACATTTCTACTTAATTTTGTAATCTGCCTTACTTCAGCGGATTTATCTATCTCATAACCACCACCTTCAATTGGAATTATTACTTGGGGCGAGAATATTTCCCATTCTGAATCTGCACGGAGGCTGATACGGGACTGGCCAGCAAGGACCAATGGGATGCCCTGTCTTCCACTTGTTACAGGACTCAGTGACTTTGTTGCACTGAGTAGGACTTTTATAAATGTATATTACTTTTAAGCAGCCATTCTCATCTATAATTTAGTATTTTTAACTGTGAAATGTTGATACACTTTACAAAATAAGGATTTAGCCACTTTTAATGTGCCAATTATTGGGTGGATTCCATGAATAAAGTCAGATCAGCTTTAAAAATATATGGTAGTATCCCTAGAAACCCTAAGGGACCCATGAAAGTAACCTGCTGTTATTACACAGATTGCAGCAGGGGCCTGCTGGCTCAGGCAATACGAAACAACAGTACAGTGTGACAAATGAAGAGAATATGAGTTTTTGCTCTTTTGTCTGCTAAACAAATGAGCAGTGCTATCAGTGTAGCCCCTGCCGGTGCTTCCCCTAAAATGCCTACTTCATCAAGAGTCTCTTTCTGCCCAGGCGCTCCCATTTTTAGTTATGCTCTAGTCTTTCTCTTCTTCCTCTTCCTCATCATCTTTCTACTACTACTACTGCTACCACTACTACTGTTTTCTCAACTAGTGATTAATGGCACCAAAGCTTATTTTTATGACCATAATGTTTTCTTACAGGATTGGCAGCCTTCAAATAAACTTTTTTTTTTTTTACTTTGTTTTGGGAAAGATTTTTTAACATAACTAAGGGCCTGCTTAGAAGACTTCCACAAGGAAATATTGGGGCAATAATGAAATAGTGCTTAACACAGAGGCTGTAATGCTTCTTTCAAATAGTTCATGTGAAATTTAACGCACATATTGCAAAATCAGTTACAATATGTGCTAATCATTATTAGCCTTATTATGGTAACTATTGTCCCTGGGTAACTATGAAGAAAGAGTAGGTATCCTTGTCTTTAATACATGGAAGTAGGATGAGAAGGGAATTCCCCTGGAGTGACCTTTGTGTACACAGAATTGGCCAAGGGATTTCTGAGTTTATCCATAGAAATGAACTGGGATCGTCTCTCCACTGCACCTCTGAGGAAGTGAACATTGTTTGGAGTACTTTATAGTCTTGATCTTGGCTAGAAAACACAGTTTTTTCATATTTCAATTCAAGAAATGTAGGAATGGTGTTAGTCTACAAATGTTAATTAACAAGTTGTCCGATTAAGTACAATGTTTGGATACCATGTGAGATGGGACACCTAGGTTTTTATTCCCTTGGGTCTTTATTTTTACCTCCAATATCACTTCACAAATAGTGTCTGCTTTCTTCTCCTTATTTATCCTGGCTGGGATAGTGTCCATTATCCATGTATTCAACAGACGCCTACTAAGCAATTGCAAGGGGCCTGTCACACTTATTAATATTGTATTTCTAATCATTAAAAGACTAGATAACACATAACTGGTGTTAAAAAGCATTTAGGCTGTACTTATTTATATGCATGTGGAGAAGAGGGTGGACATCACTGAAACATAAAATCTAGTTTACAGAGTAAAATAAGATCAAATTTTGATTTGAAACATAATTTTGAAACTAACTTTTTTTTTTTTTTTTTGTCTTTTTCCTTTTTGTTGGTACCGGGGATTGAACTCACGACTGCTTGCTTCCAAAGCAGGCGCTTATGCCTGCTGAGCTAAACCTCCAGCCCCAAAACTAACTTTTAAAATTAAGTTATTAAACTCTTGGAGTTTCAGTTACCATTTGTATTAATTGCAAATGGTCACTAGCATAAAGTTCAGAGTCTAATCTACCTTGTTGGGTTGGTTGGCAGGCTCTTTACCTTACATTCCTGAGATTATGCAGAAGTTCCTATTACCTATTGGAGAATAGCTTGTCACAAGGAGTGTATTTACATGTACTCTTCTATGAACCCCTTGTAGTTAAATGAAAACAAGAAAACAGGCTTAATTTGTTGTCAGAGCTGTTGATTTAGTTTGGATTGAGCAAGTGAGATCAAGGAATACATCACACATTAAGTTATATCACTCTTCACCATGTTGTCTGTAGTAATACCTGCTGGTCTTATGGAGTCTAAAGATGGTGAATGTATTAGAGGGAATTACATGACTGCCTCTCTAGTCTAATTATAGAGAACCCCTAGAGTTTCCATTTTTTCACTCAATTTCAGTCTTAAAGTGCCATTTTTATAATTTTCTCTTTATTTTTAATAAAAATAAAAAGTGTGCACATAAACAAATTCAGTTGACTTGAAAGATCTGGGAAAAGATTTTTATGGGACAAGTAGTAATAAGCTCTCTAGAAAACAGGAATGGAGGCATTTAATGTTCATAAGCAACAAAAACAGTAGCTGTTACAGAAGTTGGAGCCACAGAAAATTTTACTTGTTTTGTAATTCTTCTCCTTACATATTATTATTTTTCCTATAAAATTTATATCCTAAATGAGAGAAATGATAGATATAGTGTAGATAC